ACTCCGACCTCCGCCGCCACCACTACCACCGCTCCGACCGGTACCGCCACCACCGCCACCACCGCCACCGCCGCCACTGCCGCCGCCGCCACTACTGCCACTGCTTCCTCCGCCGCCCCCGTCTCCACCCCCGACCCCACTCCCACCAGCGCTCCCGCCACCGCTCCCTCCAGCACCGCCTCCCCCCCCACCTCCCCCACCTCCTCCCCCAGCGCCACCACCACCACCCTTGCCCCCCTTGCCCTTGCCGGTGCGGCGCCTCCCACCAGGAGCAGAAGCAGCGCCAACAGACTCAGCACCAAGGAAGTCAACAGCAGCAGCAGCAGCGTAGGAGGGAGCGAGGGGAGAGGGAGAACACCCCTCAAAGATGGGGGTGCGAGGAGCGCCACGAGCAGCACCGACAGCTACAATGCTCTTTTCGGCCGCGAGCAGGTGCTCCTCTAGGAGGGCGACTGTGAGCTCAGTGGGACAGCGAGCAAGGAAGTGGTCTCGAACTGAGCGGAGGGTGTCAGGGAGACGAGTGACTATAAAGTGGAGTGTCCAGTACAGTGGAGGGGGGTTCTTAGCGCAGAACTCGGTGGGAAGGGCGGCACGCAGGCGAGCATCACTAGTGCGCAGGTGGGTGATAAGATCGGCGACTGTAGTAAAGGTGGACAGATCGGGGAACAGGTACGGCAGCATGAGGCGGCTAAGCTCGGCTGTGGCAGGCGAGGAGTAGCGAGCGACGACAGCGTCGTACAGGGCCTTAGCGGATTTGCAGTCGCCAAAATGCTCTAGCTCAGCTAACGGCAGGTGACTGCGAATGGCTAGGCGAGCAGCTGCGTCACGAGTCTGCCAGTGGGAACGAACACTAAGCTCAGCTGTGGCAGGAGGGGCAGGCGCAGCACCAGACGCGTAGTCATAGAGCGACACATGCTCCTTGCTATCGCTCAGGAGGAACAGCTGCAGGTCATCTAGCCAAGCGGTGAAACGCACAGGGCGGCCCTCAGCATCGAACGACAGCACGCGAATGGAAGCCATAGCGACAGTGTGACCGGATAGAGAGCAGCGGGCGAGGCTGGCGCTACGGGCAGGCGGCGCTGCAAGCGGTCAGTGCGACGGGAGGGCGACGCTGCGAGCGGGCAGCGCGGCGGACGGGCCGGGAAGCGGGCAGCGCGGCGGGCAGGCGGCGCTGCAAGCGGGCAGCACGGCGGGCGGGCGACGCTGCGAGGCGGGCGGGCCGCAAAGCGGGCAGCGGGCGGGCGGGCGGGCTGCGAAGCGGGCAGCGGGGCGGGCGGGCTGCGATGCGAGCGGGCCGCGAAGTGGGCAGCGAGCGGGCGGGCGGGCTGCGAAGTGGGCGGGCCGCGAAGCGGGCAGCGGGGCGAGCGGGCTGCGAGGCGGGCGGGCCGCGAAGTGGGCAGCGAGCGGGCGGGCGGGCTGCGAAGTGGCGGGCCGCGAAGCAGGCAGCGAGCGAGCGGGCTGCGAAGCGGGCGGGCCGCGAAGCGGGCAGCGAGCGAGCGGGCTGCGAAGCGGGCGGGCCGCGAAGCGGGCAGCGAGCGGGCGGGCGGGCTGCGTAGTGAGCGGGCCGCGAAGCGGGCAGCGAGCGAGCGGGCTGCGAAGCGGGCGGGCCGCGAAGCGGGCAGCGAGCGAGCGGGCCGCGAAGCGGGCAGCGAGCGGGCGGGCGGGCTGCGTAGTGAGCGGGCCGCGAAGCGGGCAGCGAGCGGGCGGGCGGGCTGCGAGCGGGCGGCTCGGCGAGGGGCGCGCGAGGGCGCTAGTGAGGGGCGCGCGAGGGCGCTAGCAAGGGGCGCGCGAGGGCGCTAACGAAGGGGCGCGCGAGGGCGCTAACGAAGGGGCGCGCGAGGGCGCTAACGAGGGTGCGCGCGAGGGCGCTAACGAGGGGCGCGCGAGGGCGCTAACGTGGGCGCACGAGGGCGCTACGAGGCTAGGGCACGGGGTAGCGTGGTAACCGCATGCGAGCGGTGGTGGGCCCTAAAAAAACGGTCGGTAGGTCCTAGGGACCTCCTGCTCTGATACCATGTCAGAATCACTAGGCAAGAATGGTTGAACTAGCAGAAGTTTGGGTACAAATATGAAACCCTAGTTGGGGTTGTACCCCATATTGGCTACCCCACTACAGCCTACAAGCATAATACAGTTTAACAAATTCATCTTTGCCTATTTCTCGTTTTCGCCTAGCCTGTTTAACATGCTACTAGAGCAGGTCGACCCTCTTGGGTCGATCCTGTGGGTGGTCCCACCAGAAGCTTCCGCTGCTGTTTCCTGCCTGCCGCGCACTCCAGACGTGCGGCGATTTTTCTTCCCGCCACGCGCTCGGGGCGCGTGGCGGTTTTCTGCCCCGTCGACGGTCGCGTCGCCCCCCGCCGGAGACCGTCGCGTCGCCCCGCGACCCGCGCGTCGCCCCCCGTCGCCCGACGCGGCCCGCGCGACCTGCGCCAGGCCCGCGCGCGGCCCGTACAGGCTGCGCCAGGCCCGCGCGCGGCCCGTACGGGCTGCGCCAGGCCCGCGCGCGGCCCGTACAGCCCGCGCGCGGCCCGTACGGCCTGCGCCAGGCCCGCGCGCGGCTCGTCCGGCCTGTGCCAGGCCGGGGTGCCGTGTGTGTGAGCCGTCCCCTGCTCCTCCTCCTCCGTCTCCCACTGCTGCAGCTACCGCTTAGGGGGTGGATGTGTTGGAGCCGTCGGAGTGGTACGAGGGGGTGGCGTGTGAGCGGTGCTAGTGGTTCAACAGGGAGTGTGTGAACGGGGTGTGGGACAGTTGGGGGAGGTTGACCGGAGGTAGCCGACTAGTCGTCCGCAGCGCCTGAAGTCCAGGGAGCCACGACCCCCTGTGGCCTGAGTAGTCCGGGGCTCTGCGCCCGGTATCCATAGTGTGAGCACTCCTGGTAGTCCAGAGAGCCACGACCCCCTGTGGCCTGAGTAGTCTGGGGCTCTGCGCCCGGTAGCTACAGTGTGAGCACTCCTGGGAGCACAGCGAGCCAGCTGCGTCTGTCGCCGTGTAGTCCGGGTTTAGCCTGGTAGCGACAGTACTACGTGTCAGAATGTTATTATTGTCTAGCCTGTAGTGGGGTGCTCTATAGCGAGTACAACCCAGTTAGGGTTTGCTATATGTACCCCAACTGCTGCTAGTGAAACCCTCTCCTTTCATTCATTCTTGCCTAGTTATTTTGATATGCTATCAGAGCAGGACGATCCAGATGGGTCGATCCTGTGGGTGGGCCCCACCACCTGCTTCCGCTGCTCCTACTACTCTTTGTGTCGCACGCCCCGTGGCGTGCGACGGATTTTTCATCCCGCCGCGCGCTCGGGGCGTGCGGCGGTTTTCTCCCCGCCGTGCGCACCGAGGCGCACGGCGGTTTCCTACCGTGGGGGACGCCCGCGGCCCCCCGATCCCGTCGCCCGCGGCCCTCCGATCCCGACGCCCGCGGCCCCGCGATCCCGTCGCCCGCGGCCCCCCCCCCCCCCCCCCCCCCCCCCCCCCGATTTCCCGTCGCGCCGCCCTGGGGAGCCGCGCGCGACCCCCCGCGGCCCCGATTTCCCGTCGTGCCGCCCTGGGGAGCCGCACGCGACCCCCCGCGGCCCCGTTTTCCCGTCGTGCCGCCCTGGGGAGCCGCGCGCGACCCCCCGCGGCCCCGATTTCCCGTCGTGCCGCCCTGGGGAGCCGCGCGCGACCCCCCGCGGCCCCGATTTCCCGTCGCGCCGCCCTGGGGAGCCGCGCGCGGCCCCTCGCTGCCCCGTGGTGGCGTCCTGGGGGCCGAGCGCCGTCCCCCTCGCCGTCCCCCGCGCTCCTTCCCCCGTTCCGCCCGTTTTTAGGGTTTGGGGGTGAGGAGTGTGGGGGTGGCAGCTATGGGGGTGCCGTGTGTGTGCGCCGTCCCCTGCTCCTCCTCCTCCTCCGTCTCCCACTGCTGCAGCTGCCGCTGAGGGGGGTGGATGTGTGGGAGCCGAGGTTTAGGGTTTAAGGGGGGTGTCGTGGAAGTGGAGCTAGGGTGTCAGCAGGGGGTGTGTGAGAGGGGCGTGGGACGGTCGGGGGAGGTTGCGTGGAGGTAGCCGTCGTGACGCCAGCAGCGCCAGTAGTCCGGATGCCCTCGCGCGTTTCGGTAGCCCAGCGAGCCTGCTTCGCCAGTCGCCTGTGGGTCCGTTGCTCCTGTGTGTGCTCGTCGTAGCCGCGGAGCCAGATACTCCCGTAGTCCGGTGCCCTCGTGCGCTCGGTAGCCACTGTGCGCGCCGCTCCTGTTGCCCGTGTGTCTGCAGCTTCAGTCGGCGCCTTTCATCTTCTCGCCCTCACAGTTTCTCCTCCTCCTCACTTGCCCTCTATGATCACCTCTAGCTTTGCTTATAATTGTGAACTACTGCTATGCCTGCTCATTGTACTGATTACACCCCACTTTGGCTATGGGGGTGTGTCAGAATGTTATTATTGTCTAGCCTGTAGTGGGGTGCTCTATAGCGAGTACAACCCAGTTAGGGTTTGCTATATGTACCCCAACTGCTGCTAGTGAAACCCTCTCCTTTCATTCATTCTTGCCTAGTTACTTTGATACTACGCACTCCTGCTACCCGTGTGTCTGCAGCTTCAGCCGTCGCCTCCCATCTTCTCGCCCCCACAGTTTCTCCTCCTCCTCACTTGCTCTCTGTGCTAGCCGCTAGCTTTGCTTATAATTGTGAACTACTGCTCTGCCTGCTTGTTGTATTGATTGTACCCCACTTTGACTATGGGGGTGTGTCAGAATGTGATGGTTGTCTAGCCTGCAGTGGGGTACTCTATAGCGAGTACAACCCGAATTAGGGTTTCCTATATGTACTCAACTGCTTGCTAGTGAAATTCCTCTTTGCCTATTTCTCGTTTTCGCCTAGCCTGTTTAACATCCTTTAGTCAAGCGGCTCCAGTGCACGATTTTTACAAAAGCTCGGCTGGCTGTGAGAGCGACTCCTTTGGGTGCTCGTTTTTTCTAGTTTAAAATCTCGTCCGCCATGGCGAGTGACACCATCCCCCTTTAGCGATCAAGCATGGCGTCATCCCCAGACTCTAGCAATACCGTTGATAGGCGGCAGCGGCCTTTTACCGTTCAGCCTGGCGCTGCTGCACGCGCACGGCCGTCTCCTCGACCTGTCTTGCCCCAGCCGGATGCTCCCAGTAGTGCATCTACCCGGGATGAGCCGAGCACTAGCTGCGACCGTCCTTGGCCCACCCTTCCTCGAGTAATTGTCCCCACCTTTCCTGGGCGTAACCGCCCGCAGGGACAGACCAAGTGCAATGCCGATGCTGCCTCGCCAAGTCCTCGCTACCGCATGACAAAACGCTCGCGGAATGCCATCACCGCGAAGGAGAAACTTCATTGGTTGAAGATGCAAGACTCTCAGCCCGACCTCTCTAACCGCGTGCTGGCGAAACTCGCGAACGTGCAGCCGTGCCAGATCCGAGAATGGAAGAAGATGAGGGAGCGGCTGGAGGTCGCTTCCAGCTGTCGCCGTCGCCTCATGGGGCACGGGCACAAGTCCAATTATCCGTTCATGGAACGGGCTGTCTACCGCCAGTTCCTGAAGCACCGCGTGAAGGGCCTTGCCGTCACGGTCGGCATGCTCCAGAAGTGGAGCGCCAAGTAAATGAAGCACAGGATACCCGGAGTCAACTGGCGTGCTTCGTTCCGGTGGGCGATTCGTTTCCGCGCGCTGGCACTTGGCGAGGCATGTGAAGACGAAGATGGGACAGAAGCTTGCAGCGGGTACGTGAAAGTTTGTGCCAACGTTTAGCTAATGCAAAGCTAATAGAGCGGTTAACTCCTGCCAATGTTGAGATAATGTTTCTTGTTGCTCTGCTCGCAGATGGCCAAGGTAGAGTCGATTTGGGAGTTCGTGCGTCAGATGCGCTCTCTGCATGGTTACTCGCTCGACCTCATCGTGAACGTGGACCAGGCGCTGCTCTTCCTGGAGATGCCGGCGGAGCGCACGCTCGAGGTGAAGGGAGCGCGTACGGTTCACGTTTGGAGTGCGGGCTATGAGAAGGAGCGTGTTATTGTCATGCTGGCAGTAACAGCGAACGGCCTCAAACTTCCGTCGTACGTGGTTTTCAAGCGGAAGACCGTCCCAAAGGTGGTCATCCCTGACGGTAAGCAACCCACGTTCACTATGTTGTCCCTGCTCTTGCCCGTCAGTTGTCGCAACTGAACCTGACAAACCTTGTGTTGTTTGGCAGGTGTGGTGGTACGCGCACAGAAGAAGGGCTGGATGGACGAAGCCCTGGTGCAGGACTGGATCACCTAGGTTATGGTGTCGTTTCTGAAGCCCCTTCGTGAGACACCTGGACGTCGCAGGGAGGGCTTGGTTGTGCTCGACTTTTACAGCGGCCATTTGACCCAGGCGGATGGGCAGACCATGCGGATAGTGCGGTGTGCGTTAGCGCTACAGTGTGTGGTTCGAATAAGAGGGAATCAACCTCACCACCAAGGCTGGTAAGTTGAAGCCCTAAGATCCGCTTGCTTTACGTTGAATCCATGTCAGCGTACGCTCTGTATGTTCATGTTCGTCCTTGACTTCCCTACCCCGTCCCCCAGGCAATCTGAAGAAGCCGTAAGTGGGGGTGCTCCGTTGGATCGATGAGTCCTTGGAAGACAACCCAGGGGAGCTCATAAAGAAGTCGTTCGTCATGTGTGGGATCTCCACCTCCATCGATGGTAGCGAGGACCTCCTCATCCTTGCCCACATGCGGGACAAGAGTGAGGTGGAGGTCCTTGACGATGTTAACGACCTGGTTGACGACGATCTCGTCGTCAACCCCTTCTACACCGAAGTTCCCATGCTGGCAGAGGAGCTGCAGGCGGCGGCGCAGGAGGATGACGCCGCCGAGGAGGACGCGGAGGCGGCGGCGGCAGAGGAGGAAGGGGTTGTGCTTAAAGAAGGCGGGGAGGCAGAAGAGCTGAACGATGACGAGTGGTGGCGCCCTGGCCGCTATGAAGGGGAAGAGTATGAAGAGTTCCATGCAGAGGGCGATTCTGAGTAAAAAACTCAAAGTAGAGCTCTCTGTAGTTGAAATTGTGGATGTCTAGTGTGTGGTGTTGTTGTGGCTATGGAGATGCATTCTATGTGACATTGTTAATGTCTTGGTGCTGGCGCAATACTTCCGTAGTTCCTGTAATGTCACCTATACAAAATGTAAGCAAAGTTATCGTTTTTCCTGACTATAACACCCCCCCAGGGTCTTATAGAGAACTAGCCAAAAAGGAGGGTATAGTGAAATCTGGGTCACCTTTAGCACCCACCCCGCTCAAGCTACCCGGGGTTGCTCTATCATGGGGGGGTGTTTTCTCTGGGAGAATACGGTAGTTGATTTACCGTTCAATTACTAAAAGGGCACAATCGGAACGTGACATGTCCCAAAGAAGAAAGTTTTACAAACATATCTTTGACTAGTTATGAAACTCCAAAAAACCAGTATTTGTGACTAACTGTAATGCTCCGAATTTGCTTTTGGAACATGTCATGTCCCGCAAGTATCCTAATACCAGTATACATGATATACTAATTTACAAATTCTATTACAGCATGATCGTAAGAAAAGGGCTCTTATAGGATGTTCAACTTATTTAGGATTCAGAAATTGTTAGCATTAATTAACAATCTTTAAATATTGTCAATTTCAATTGAAATGCCCCTTTGTTTTCGCCAATTCCAGTAGGGAAAATATGTCAATGGTAACTTCGGCCAATATCATTGATACTCAAAGTATGGCTGAGAAAGTTTGCATCGGTACTCAATCTCGATTTCTCATCGCTGATTGGTTCTCGCTTTTCAATCACACTTTCACGCAAATAACTCCTCCGAAAAGTGACAGAAACAAAATGCGATTGCTTAAGTTAAATATGAACAATTGTGTCGAGCTCAATAAATAAAAATAGTATCAAGCGCAAATTGCGTTAAAAAATAACTATTAGGAAAAAGGATGCAGACTTGGAATAATTCAACGGAATGGGGTCGACGGCACCGCCAACGCTCCGTCGACCATGGACCTGCTGACATAAAACAGAAGAAAACTAAAACTACATCAAATGGCATGTTATGTAACGGAGGCATCGACCTTGAATGCAATGCGAAAAGGTTTTTAAGGTTGATATCATCCGTCCGGACTGGATGCCTTTCCGTATGGAGCTAATTTTTAATTGCATGTGGGCAGCAAGCTCTGCTGGACGGTGTCGTTTCTTTGTTGAGATAGTTATAGTTGAAAGGCATAGTTCTAAACAGGGCCTGTGCTAGGATTTAGGGCACCCTGAGCCCTCAGGGTAACTTTTGAAAATTTTCTTAAATGCCCTGATTTTCCAGGGCAAAATTCCCTGGCCATCCTGAAATTTCAGGGCACCAGCAGAAATTCATCCGGATGATTCAGGGCAAAAAATACAAGGGACTGGAGAGGATGGAGGGGAAGGCAAAAAAGGAGCAGGTTGCTCACTGGTTTCACTGCTGGCTGGGCGAAAACTTAGGTGGGGGAGGGGTGGGGACAGAACTACTAGCACACACACACCCCCCCAGCCTCCTTCCTCCCCTCTCTCTCTCTCTCCCCTGTCAGAATGTTATATTTGTCTAGCCTGCAGTGGGGTGCTCTGTAGCGAGTACAACCCTTCTAGGGTTTGCTATTTGTATCCCCATTCTTGCTAGTTCAACCCCTCTCTTTTGCCTAATTCTCTCGACATGGTATCAGAGCAGGTCGACCCTCCTGGGTCGATCCTGTGGGTGGGCCCACCACCTAATGCTTCCGCTGCTTTACTTCCTGCCGGGCGCCTCGGGCGCGCGACGACTTCTTCCTGCCGTGCGCTCGGGGCGCGCGGCGGTTTTCTGCACGCCGTGCGCCCCGAGGCGCGCGGCGGTTTCCCACCGTCGAAGCGCCCCCCCCCCCCCGTCGCCGTCGACCCCCCGCGTCGCCCCGCAGCCCCGCGCGTCGCCCCCGACGTCTCGTCGCGACACCTTGGGGAGCCGCGCGCGGCCCCCCGCTACCTCGTCGCGACGCCGTGGGGAGCTGCGCGCGGCCCCCGCTGCCTCGTCGCGACGCCTTAGGGAGCCGCGCGCGGCCCCCCGCTGCCCCGTCGAGGCGCCCTGGGGAGCCGCGCGCGGCCCCCGCTGCCCAGAGGTGGCGCCCTGGGGGTCGCGCGCCTTCCCCCTCGCCGTCCCCCGCGCTCCTTCTCCCTTTCGCCCGTTTTAGGGTTTGGGGGTGGGGAGTGTGGGGGTGGCGGCTGTGGGGGTGTCGGTTGTGCGTTACTCTACCTACTCCTCCTCCTCCCTAGTCTCCCTCTACTGCAGCTGCCGCTGAGGGGGGTGGTGTGTGGGAGTCTAGGGTTTGGGGTTTAAGGGGGGGTACCGTGGGAGTGGAGCTAGGGGTGAAGCAAGGGGTGTGTGTCGAGGGGTGTGGGACTGTTGGGGGAGGTTGAGCGGAGACTGCCGTCGTGTCGTCCGCAGCACCTGTATTCCGGGGTTCCGCGGACCTCCGGTAGCTCAGAGAGCCGGCTGCACCTGTCGCCCGTGGGTCCGCTGCACCCTCCGCAGCGACTATTACCCCTGTAGTCCGGGGCTCTGCTTCCGGTAGCCACTAGCGTTGCGCCAGAGCCGTCTGATGCCCGTGTGTCTGCAGCTTCAGTCGTCGCCTCCACTCCTTTCTCCTCTCGCCAGCCCTCCTCCTCCTCATTTGTCCTCTGTGACCGCCTCTAGCTTTGCTCATAACTTATAAACTGTTGCTTCTTGAACTTGTGCTCAGAATGTGTGGTGACATCGTGATCCACCCTGAGCTTGTACTGCTTTGCTTGCTCTGCTGATTACACCCCACTTTGGCTATGGGGGTGTGTCAGAATGTTATATTTGTCTAGCCTGCAGTGGGGTGCTCTGTAGCGAGTACAACCCTTCTAGGGTTTGCTATTTGTATCCCCATTCTTGCTAGTTCAACCCCTCTCTTTTGCCTAATTCTCTCGACATGCCCCTCCACCCCTTCTCCCCTTCCCACGAGTCAGGGCATCCCTCTACATTCACCCTAACGTTTCAGGGCGAATTTTCACTGCCATTCTGAAATTTCAGGGCAAAACACATGGATCATCCTGTCGTTGCAGGGCAAATTTCAGCGTCATTCTGAAATTCCAGGGCAAACTTAAAACACCATCCTGAAATCAGGGTAATCAGGATGTTTTGCCCTGATATCGTGGGCCCTGGTTCTAAACACTTGATAGCTCATTTAAGGCTAATATCCAAGCGTTATAGTATTTTTCCTGATTTGTTGGGTACGTGGGGTTTAGGTGCTGGTGGCGACTTTGTTTTAGAATTGTTCTTAAAACTAGAATCAACATGTAAATATAGTTACTATACCGAAAGAATGTCGGTTGATTACGTTTGCGAACCGCGCCTGGCATAATCTGAGTATCAATGATATTGGCCGATGGTAACTTACATGGGGCACTATAACGCGTACGGTAACGATTTCAACGCGTTTGGTAACTCGCTTAACACGTTTGGTCACTCGCTTAACACATTTGGTAACTCTACACTAAGAGCCCATCACGCGAATGGTAACTACATAAAGTATGGTAACTCTACTCGGGAATTTCATGTAGTTATCATTCGCGTGATGGGCTGCTAGTATAGAGTTACCAAATGCGTTAAGCGAGTTACCAAACGTGTTAAGCAAGTTACCAAACGCGTTAAGCGAGTTACCAAACGCGTTGAAATCGTTACCGTACGCGTTAAAGTGCCCCATGTAAGTTACCATTGACATATTTTCCCATTCCAGCATCATAAATTTGGGTACACCGTGTATAACAGCGGGGAACATGCTTGATGCGAACGACTACCCCAGCCTTGTCAACTATGAGCGCAACCGCGCCGTTTGTGACGTGGCGTCAAGCCCTATTGGATGGCGAGGGAACTCACCTCGTTACTGGCACCTTCGCCTAGTTCCTTGTTGGAGTCGTTACCAGCGCCCTCCCGACCAAGCAGCTATATTTCCTGCGCACTCGTTGCAACTCATCGTTCTGAACCGTAATAAGACAGACGAAAACCGTGAGTAAACCCTTTCGAGTATAGGAAAGGTACGAGTTGGATATCCCCTAGGCTGCGCACGCGCCCCATGGGCTAGCGCATTCACTCGCCTACTACCTTTCCCCCCTTTTTGCGCAAATCTTGTAGAGCTAGTGAACGAATCTCGAGGTGTGGGTGACTCAAATGATTGAAACGGGGAAACCCATCAACCAGTTACTGTACCGCAATATGAATCCACATCTGCTGCTCTGAATTCCCGACTGAGCAGCGAATTCGACTCCCATAATCTGACTTCCTCCTTCGTTACGTTCCTGCGACGACGACTTGCGTCTTAGCTAAGCTTCCCGCCGTTATTACAAACGAGGGGTGGGTCTGTCGACCTACGCGGGTCTCTCGCCCGTTCCCGGTGACGCGCTGCAAGCAGCTAGCTACAGCCACGGGGAGGCAGATACGCCTAAAGTAGCTTTTCAGGCTCGTTTCGCACGTTCCCTCTCGACACGCTTAGGTTATCCTGTATCATACAGCTTCCGTAACAGAAGTGCTAACCCACTTACGTCAACCCTTGCCACATACTGGCTGTTCCAGCCTCCACACTACCAGCAAAAAATATCTCGTTTTTCCCCGCAATAATCAGCTCAGACTTTACAGCCCGCGCAGATGCCGCTCTTGTACACGATCGTGTCGCGGGGAACTACAGTGTTGGCAGAATTCAGGTACTGCCTCGCCACTCCGTGTTTGCCGCCTCCCTGTCAACTCTGTCGCGTATTGTTAGCTACCATCCTGCATGACACTTGTCGTTCTCAGACACGCTAGCACACTTGTGTGTGGTACTATCAAGTGCTTTTCTTCTGTCTCTTCCGACTCTGTCATATCCAACCCCGCCTTTTCTGGTACTCCGAAATTTCCCTCATACCCTATCTTCTGTCTCGCCACATACATGCCGCCTCCCTCCGTAGTCATCTCTCCCAGAGTCTTCTCTCCCATCGTCTCTCCTATCATCACTCCTATCATCACTCCTGTCATCACTCCTATCATCACTCCTATCGTCTCACCTATCATCTCTCACACCATCTCTCACATCACCTCTCCCGTCATCTCTCACATCACCCCTCCCATCGTCTCTCCCACCAGCTCTCACCTCATCTCTCCCATCATCCCTCCGCTTCCTCGTTCCTGTATTCCACATGCCGTGCCATGCAAATTGTTCTCTTTAGTCCCCATCTCGCATAACTCTCTTTCCGTCTCCATCAACCCCTTTCCATCTCCTCAGCCTCCTGCGTGCATTTGCAGCCTCATATTTGTCAAATCCTCAACCACCTTTCCCCTACTTCTCACTCACTCTCCCTCCGGCCTGCCACCACTACTGCTCCGTTCATTCCTCTGCAAAGATTGCTCCATTCCGTATTACATACCTTCGCCACACTCAACAGCCCCCTCCACCTTCCCATTCCCTCTGACAATCCGCCTTTCGCCCTGCTCTCCCCTCACCACCCCTTTCCCCGCCTCCCATCCACTCACCCCATTCTCGCTCCCCACTTAACCTCTTTTACCCTTGTGTGCCTGCTGCACCCGCCACCGCGCCCTCTCTCCAGCGTGGCAGCGGGCAATGCGAACGCGGTGGCGAGGAGAATACTGGAGAAGCTGCCAGTGGACGGGGATGCGCGTGTGTCGTACACGCACGACCGCCACGTCTTCCACATCCTGCGCGCCGATGAGCTCGTCTTCCTCTGCATGGCCGACGCTCCCTTTGGACGTGCGTTCGTTCTTGCTCTCTGGTTCCTTGTGTTTTCCGGTGAGTAGTGGTGGCAAGGTGTAGTGGTGTGGGTAGTTGTGCGCCGATGGGCTCGTCTTCCTCTGCATGGCTGACACTCCCTTTGGACTTGCGTTCTTGCCCTCTGCTTGGTTTTCTCTTGCCGCGAAGTAGCGGTGGCAGGGTGCAGTGGTCTAGGTAGTTGTGTGGCTATGGGGCACGCTGGTACAGGCATGCACATGCACCATGGAGTCATGGATACGTGCCTCCATGCATTCATGCCTCCATGCCCGCATTGCTATGATAGACGTACACTCTGGAGCTTGCACTCACGAGCGAGCGAGTGGCAGTGCTCTCCTTGTACGCATCCCAACAAGTAGCAGCACCGTTGCTAAAGCTGCTTCAGTGCTCTGCCCATCATTCCATCTATCGTTCTCCATGCACTCCATCCATCATACCCACTACCATTCCATCCATCGCATTTCATTCATCATTCCATTCAGAACTTCTTCTGTCGTCCCATTCATCATGCCATCCACACTCCCATCTATCATGCCATCCGTCCGTCCATCTACAAGTTGTGTATCCCACACCACCCCTACTATCACAAGCATGCCCTTCTTTCCTCCATTATTTCCCCATCTCTTGGTACCGCTCCTTTTGCCACACCCTTCTCCACCACATTCAACCCCTTTCTTTTGTGGAGCTCCAACAGTGCCCTATCATGGCGCATCTCCAAACCGCCATCAGCCATTCCCACCTTCCTGTGTATTCCCTCTTGTTCTGCACTGGGACAGCTGGATTCTTGAGGATTCTTTTCTCAAGGGATACCATCAGTAAACTTGGTGCACGTACCGCTTGCCCATTCACCCCGCCCACCCTCAATAACTCAATTTCCCCCCACCCCTTCTTCCCTCACACACTGCAACCGCCCTCCCTCCTCTCCCTCCTCCCTCCCCTCACCCATTTCCCTGCCACTCTGAATCCCCCCAGTTCGAATGCCTTTGCATACCTGGAGGACATGCACGGTCAATTCATGCAACTCTGCCAGTGCGAGACATTCGCCACGCTCGCATATGCCGATTCCCTTCTCCCCCCCTCACGCTCTCTTACTCATCCACCCATTCCCGTCCCACCTCTCGCACCAACCACATCCCAACCCTCCAAGCCCCCCACTCCCCATCCATCCCCCTCCAATCCCCCCCTTTCCACCTGAATCCCCCCAGGGCGACTGCCATTAGCAGACCTTGAGGACGTGCACATGCTGACTTGTGAATCGACTCAAAGTGCTTTCCCACTTCATCCGCCTCCCTTCCCACCTGAATTCTCTCAGGGCGGGTGCCATATGCATTCTCAAAGGACGTGCACATGCGGTTCTTGAAGAGACGTTTGAGTCGACTCATAAACCTTGCGGCAATCCCCTCTCTCTGCACCTGAATCCCTCAGGCCGAGTGCCATTTGCATACCTAGAGGACGTGCACATGCGGTTCATGAAGACGTACGGCCGCGTGGCCGCCACAGCGCTCGCCTACGCCATGAACGACGAGTTCTCACGCGTCCTCGCCGCACAGATGGAGTTCTTCTCCTCCAATCCCAACTCTGATACCATCAGCCGCGTCAAGAATGAAATCAGCGAGGTTGGTATCGTGCAGCGTGATAGGCCAGGGTGGAGTCAGGCGTACATTCCAGCAGCGTGTCCTTTGTTCTTAATTCCTCTCATGACTCCGACATCTCTTTCGTGTCGCTCTTCCACAGCCTCCTCTTCCCCGTTTGTTCTTACCTTGTGTTCCTTCACTGTCCATCTGTTGCCCTTCTAATGTAACACTGCCTTTATCCTAAACCCATGCCAAACTGCCCCACAGCACCTTCTCTCGCTCTCGCCACATCCCTCTTTCCCCAGTCTCCTCCTAATCCCTCTCCCCGCCACGCCAGGTGAAGTCGGTGATGGTGGAGAACATCGACCGTGGTGTTGGACCATGGTAACCGCATAGAGCCACTTCTGAGGCACCTTAAAATGCATCCTTCAGTCCCAAATCTCCTCCTAATCCCTCTCCCCACGGTCCATGCTGCCACGCCAGGTGAAATCGGTGATGGTGGAGAACATAGACATGGTGCTGGACCGTGGTAACTTCATAGAGCTGCTTTTGCGGCGCCACAAAATACATTTCTCTTTCCCCAGTCGCATCCTAATCCCTTTCCCCACTGTCCACCCCGCCACGCCAGGTGAAGTCGGTGATGGTGGAGAACATAGACATGGTGCTGGACCGTGGTAACCGCATAGAGCTGCTAGTGGACAAGACCGCCACCCTGCAGGACAACACGTTCCGCTTCAAGAAGCAGGCGCGCGCACTCAAGCGAGCACTGTGGTGGAAAAACACCAAACTCATGTGCGTGTGGGTGGGTGGGACTGACAGGAGTGTGGTTCTTTTAGGTGCCTTAAAAAAAATGAACAAGAAGCGTGCACTTTGGTGGGAAAACACCAAACTCATGTGCGTGTGGGTGGGTGGGACTGACAGGAGTGTGGTTCTTTTAGGTGCCTTAAAAAAAATGAACAAGAAGCGTGCACTTTGGTGGGAAAACACCAAACTCATGTGCGTGTGGGTGGGAGGGAGGGACTGCCAGGAGGCGTGGGGATGGGAAAAGATGGATGGAGGGTTCTGGGCTGACGAGGGGGTGCACTGCAACGGAGGGAGGGAAGTGCCAGACGAGTTGCAGCTTTCCAATTGCCCCAACCCCAGCGCCTTGCTCCTCCTTACTATACCTTTCTTCCATGTTGCATCCATTTACTGTACCATCCATGTCCACCTGTACCTTTCTTCCATGTCCATGTCATTCATTTTGTTGCCCCTGCTGTTTCCCAGGATTGCCATGAGTGGAGTAATTCTTATTGCTCTCTACCTTTTCGTGGCCCTGTTTTGTGGGGGTTTGTTTCTTCCGTCTTGCCATTCGTAATGGGTCTTTGGAACTTCAATCACCAACATGTGCCATCGAAGTAGTCAATCTCTATCTACATGTAGACACTTCTCTAATGCCTGACGTTATGATTGTTAACCATTAGTACATACATACCTAACAACATGGCGTTGAAAAGCCAATGCTTTTGATAAGCACATTCCTGCGCACGCAAGCCAGTAATAACCAGTCGGAATCATTCGCAATGTCATGCAAACCAGACAACCCAAAGGCCCATATGGATTGAGCTTTTGTGTAATTACCGAGCAAGCAAGCAGAAATAATATTTTCAATTGAGTCCATCAATTGGGAATATGCTTTTATTGCTGGTGCTGTCTCGGTTTCCAATCACTAAAATTTGAGTTGTTACGATAGCAACGTTATTTTGAAAATGAATGTTTACAACGACCCAACGTTATTGATTCATTTTCGTAACCAGCGAGTAACCTCCATGAAGTCAGGGCTGACGTGGGGGCAATTTCGTTTCAGGAGGGAGAGCAGATAGGATAGACCAGCGTTAGCTCAGGCAGTACGATGATGACACGTCACATTGCGCAAATTAGTAGCGAAATCCTCGGAGCAAGTAGCATCATCCATCGAGGTTGGCTGAGCACCTCGCTCCGTTGCCCCAGGGAGCTGGGGCAACCGCAGGGAGGACCAGCCAGGCGCCTCACGCGATTCCGCACGGGTCCCAGCATCGCTCCTGCCTCCCTCATATCCTGTCAGTCTGCAGTTTGGAAGAGCAAGCCAAGCTCTCCACCAACCCTCCCGTGTTCGAAGTGTGCCACTTCTAGCCTTCCACTAGCAACCATGGCTGCCGTGGCATCTTCGTCCGCTGTCCTCAGGAGCTCGTTCCTTGGCCAGAATGTCGTCGCTCCCCGCGTGGAGTCCGCCTCCCGCACCGTGATGACCCTCGGCAAGAAGAAGGCCGCTGCCGCCAAGAAGGCTGCGCCTGCCTCCGCCGTTGATGCCGAGCTGGCCAAGTGGTATGGTGAGTATCAGCAGCGACCATCCGACCAGCCTCGACAATTTCAAAGTTTAGCCTTTCTCTCGTAGAAATTACTTAACAACCGCGTTGATATTTGCAGGCCCCGACCGCAGGACCTACCTCCCCGAGGGTCTCCTCGACAGGTCTGAGATCCCGTCCTACCTCACTGGCGAGGTTCCCGGCGAGTAAGCAACAGCCACTTGCCCTACTTGCACTCCTAATCGCAGCTCCATCGTTGCTTTCGCCACCGCAATTCCCTCGTACTAACGTTCCTTTTCCTCGACATTTTCGTGCTATCCAGCTACGGCTACGATCCCCTGGGTCTGTCGAAGAAGCCCGCTGACTTCGAGAAGTACCGCGCCAACGAGGTGATCCACGGCCGTTGGGCCATGCTCGGCGCCGCCGGCTTCATCCTGCCCGAGGCGTTCAACAAGTACGTGCCCGGCGTGTGCGGTCCCGAGGCCGTGTGGTTCAAGACCGGTGCTCTCCTGCTCGAGGGTGACAGCATCCAGTACCTGGGTGCCACCATCCCCGTCAACCTGGCTATTGCCACCCTCGCCGAGGTCATCCTCGTCGGCGGTGCTGAGTTCTACCGCGGCAAGAACGCCTCTCCCCTCGGCACCGTGAGTACATGACCAGAACAACCCATCTTGGCTTTGTGGCTGTCGCTTCGTGGCTCCTTTTTTCACCTGTACTAAATGTCTGTCTCCCGCGGCTGTTTTACATTCAGGACCTCGACACTCTGTACCCCGGCGGTTCCTTCGACCCCCTTGGTCTCGCCTCGGACCCCGACACCCTGGCCATCCTTAAGGTGAAGGAGCTGAAGAACGGCCGTCTCGCTATGTTCTCGATGCTCGGATTCTTCGTCCAGGCGAAGGTCACTGGTGAGGGCCCAGTGGAGAACCTGACCACCCACTTGAGCGACCCCTTCGGCAACAACCTTCTGACCTCGCTGGGCAATGCCGCGGACCGTGTGCCCACCTTGTAAGGTGGAGAGTGCAGTTTTCCAGCCGTATTTACAATGAGCGCGCATGCGCGATTTTGATGTAAAGGTCTTAATGGTGAAAATATGAAACTTTCCAACCACCAAGGGGTACTTGCTACAGCAGAAAACCACATTGGCAGCCTAAATTGAAACTAACGAATCTCCTTAGTTTCTTAATTAGTGAATTTTGCTGACCCTTGAGACTGAGCCTCTATTCAACAATCCCCATCCACCTTGGTTATCAATTCGCTAGTAATCAATTTGGTTGGGGTTGGCGTAGCATGGTAGCATTGGTGGAAGAGAATTTTCCGAAGTTAATATTACTCATGACATGCAGAACAATTGTGGAGGGTTGTGACTCCTAGAGTATAGCTCCTCACACCTTTGATACGGTACTAGGAACTCGTGTTGAGGCAATTGTTTGTGTGGTGGGTTGGTTCAAACACTTGCTACCGTACCAAATCATTTGATTTCTCCTATCGCGTACAGTCTTTCTACTCCACGTCGCCTTGTGATCCCAATTAAAAAACACACAGACCAGGTTACACGTTTTTTGTCGCGCTCAGGGGCGCGGCTCGCGGGTGAGCTGCGTGGTGAATTTACTCCTTCCGGCCTTCAACTCTCTCACCATACACCTTCTCACCGCTTCGTACCGAATCCCGTTTCTGTGAAACCCTCCAACCTTCCAACCGCTTTCCCTTCGTCATCTCTTGGCGCACATACATCCGCTCACCTTGCGGAAGCGAGATTCGTCCAGTCCAGACTCCCTCTTCCTGTGCTTTCTTGCCGGAAATCTCATACGTCGATACGGTCCTGTCCTTGGAACGCATTTCACGCACCAACCTTCCGCGGAACCCCATGCGGTCCCCCGCGTGCGGCGCAAGCGGAGCAGGTTCCGCTGCGGGTGCCGGTTCCGGGGAACGGGGGAGTGCAGAGGCGCGGGGAGATGCGGGGATGCTGGGGGTAGCGAGAGAAAGGCGAGGCGCGGAAGCCGTGATGGGGGAGGGGAGCGGGGAGGGGGACGGGGAGGTGGGGCAAGCCCGCGCAGGGGGAGATGCAGACGAGGGAAGGGGAAATATGACGGGGGAAGGGGGGGAAGCGCAATCAGAAGCGAAGAGAGGGGGTGGCGTTGGAGGTGGGGTAGAGACGGGAGGTCGAGAGGAAGTAGAGACAGGGCCAATGCGGGAGGGGGAGGGGGAGAGGAACGCGGAAGGAGGGGGAGCGGGAGCAGAGGCGGAGGCGGAGGCGGAAGCGGGAGCGGAACAGGATCTGTCAACGATAGACCCGTGCCATATCATCAGGCTGATCCGCACACTGCTGGAGGAGGCGCGGGGGGGTGATGCGGAGGGAAGGGCAGGGGAAGACGGGGCAGAGGGGGCAGAGGCGGCAAGCGAGGGAGGAAGGGGTGAGAGGGGCACAGGCGGGGGAGGGGGAGTGCGAGGAGAAGCGGAAGAAGCAGGGGGGGTTGGAATGGACGAAGGGGGGGAGGAAGGGGCGGGGGAGGCGGGAGTGCGCGCTGGAGGGGGGAGAGAGGGAGAGGGGGGGAGAGCAGGTGGGGAGGTGAGAGAAAACGGATTGAGGGGGGAGGGTAGAGGCGGTGGTGGTGGTGATGATGATGATGAAGAGAGGGGGAAGGAGGGCGCATGGGAGGGGGAGGGAGGAGGTGCGAGGGAGGGCGGTGAGGGGAGGAGGGAGGAGGCAGGGTGTGTGCTGTGGGACCTGGCTGCTAGTGAGGAGCACGCAGAGCTCATGGTGGGTGCTCCATATATGCAAAAGAGACTTTTGAGTCCACTCAAAAGTCACCTCTGTGTTGTGGGACCTGGCAGCTAGTGAGGAATATGCAGAGCTCATGGTAGGTTCTCCACATTTGCAGAGGCGTGTGTACTGTCTGTTGAGATGGTAGAGTGGCGTGACCTGACTGGTGACCATGTTAGAAGCATCTTACTGGTAACCATCGTATACTTAGGATGTACACCCTGTTCAGATCGGTATAGGACATGGACACACACGTATAGGCTCCATGCACATATGCTGTGCGGATTAGCACGCTGAGTTGAGTCCTCTCAGAAAATGGGTGCCATGGTGCGTGCTGTGGTGGGTGCTGCTGTGGTGTTACAACTGATGTGCACGCACCCACCCATGACATGGCCGCATGACATGAGCATGGTTGTGTCATGCCAAGCCATGCCATGCCTCACCATCCCATACTATGTTATGCAATGCGTGCGTGCATGTGCGTGCATGGCAGGTGCGTAGCCATGTTCTGGACGTGGTGCTATCTGTGCTCGCCTCTCCTTCTTCATCACCACGACTCAAGGTCTGCCCTGCGCTGCCCTGCCCTGCCCTGCACCATTTCATGCCCGCACTTCCCATGCCCGTTCACTCACATACTCCCATGTGAACCATACACGTCCTGCTCCCCCACCACTCATTCCCCCCTTGCTGTTTCATGCTTGGTTGTTACCGCTTTTATGCCTAATGAGAATTCTCAAAAGTGACACCAATTAGGCAATGGTGCGCCTGTATGGGGCATGGCACGCACAACAGCTACACGGACTCACATTGTAGATTGAACATCTCTGTGCATTTTAGGACTCAAGCCATCGGAACTAGCAACATTCCGCATGCTTTCATGCCAATCCCTCACTGCCCCCCTGATTCTTCCCACCCCTTACCTCACGAATCTCCTCTCCCCCCTGATGTTGTTACCCTCTCGCTCTACCCTACACCCCCCACCTCTCTCCCCGCAAACCCTGGTCAGGAGATTTGCATGGGGCTGCTTGCGAACCTGGCATGCCACATAGCACCAGCACACAGCATGACAATCATGGGCGGAAGTGATGACAGTGTAGCGCCCAGCAGCATGATGCATGCGGTGGTGGCAGTGCTCATGGGCGAGGACGACCCGCCCTGCCTCAGTGAGACCTGCCGGTGAGGGTGCGTTATACTTGCGCGGTAATGGTGGATTGTGAATGGAGGATGTATGGTGGACTGTGAATGGAGGATGTATGGTGGATTGTGAATGGAGGATGTATGGTGGATTGTGATTGGTCAATGCACGAGGGTCAATCCATGGTCAATGGTCAATCGTCTCTCCATGATCCAAGCAGTGCTGGCTGTGCTCATAACCCAAGACAAAACACCCCGCGCCTCTGTAAACGAGTCCTTGTACACTGCGAAATGTGCCTCATGCAAAGTGACGTACCCGTATAGTTTCGCATAGAATACCAGCAGCAGTTTTTCCATAGGGAGCCCCCCTAAATTATTGATTGTAGCCACATGGTATAAGACATAAATCACCACATTGATTAAAAAAGAATACCACAAAGTCTAATACATAGAACACCAGCAAGTGCGCCGCAGTGTGCCGCTTTTCCCTTTGTAGTGAGTGTACCCTTGTGCACCCATTCCCACCACTTGCATGCCAGGCTGTTAGGCACGGTGCTGCGCGGTGCAGAGTCAGAGGCATGGGCAGCGTTCCTGGCAGGCTCTGCTGCTGACTGCCTGCCCCGCATGCTCTGGATCGCTGCCAACACCCTGCACCCGCAACTGCTGCGCAAGGTACGCACTGGGGAGGGTGGGGTGGGGTGGGGTGGGGTGTGGTGGAGTGCGGTGTGGTGGGGATCGCAGCCAACACCCTGCACCTGCAACTGCTGCGCAAGGTACGCGCTGCGTGATGTTGGGTGGGTGGGACGTAGTGAGATGTAGTGGGGTGGGGTGGGGTGGGGTGGGGTGGGGTGTGGCATGGCAAGAGATGGCTTGGTTTGGTATAGCATGACTCTTTGTCAGCACTGGATGGTGTGTTCTTGGCCCATAGGCGCACTGTCGTCAGTCCATGTATTTTTTACTTTGTCCAGAATAGCAATCCTGACAGATCGCCAATTCCTGTTGCTCAACTCTACTGATTCAGCACTGCGGAAATTCGCACCCGCCAACTTGCCTAGTGTGTTGCCTGCCTGTACCTAGCTGTGGCAATGCAAGAAGATTGGACGCCTCTTCCTTACCATCTTTGCACCATCACCACCACCACACCACCACCATCACCACCACCATCACCACCACCATCACCACCACCATCACCACCACCATCACCACCACCACCACTATCATTCTCCCACCATGTGCAGTGCACGGATCTGCTGCTGGCAATGGTGGATTCCTCCCACCCGGCATCCCACGTCCTGCCCCCTGTTGAGCTGACACAAAGAACCATCGTTCTGAGTCATCGCAACCCCACCGTCCACCCCCATCCCTCCCTCCCTCCCACCATGTGCAGTGCGCGGATCTGCTGCTAGCAATGGTGGACACCTCCCACCCAGCATCACCGAGTGCTGCTGCCTGTTGAGCTGACGCATACAACCCTCCTTCTAAGTCACTGAAACCCACCCCCTCATCTTCCCCCCCCTCCCACCATGTGCAGTGCACGGATCTGCTGCTGGCAATGGTGGACTCCTCCCACCCAGCATCACACGTGCTGCTGCCTGCGCTGCTCGCCCTGCCGCTGCTCTGCACCCTCGCCGACCTCATTGCCTCTGAGATGGACCGACTGGCCGACGGCTCCAGAGACGAGTGAGTAGGCGCACTGCACCACGCCGAACCGCACCGTACCGCTCCGCACCATACCACTTCTCATCAATGCTGCCCACGCTGCTCGCCATGCCTCTCTCGTCGACATCATTGCCTCTGAGTTGGACTGACTCGCAGACGGCTCCAGAGACGAGTGAGTGCTTGCACCGCACCACACCGCTCCACACCGCACCACCCTGCACCTCCTCCCTCCTTTTCACTTATTTCTCCTCATTCTCGTTTCTCTGTTTCCATTTAAGATGCATCTCTGATGCATATCCCACCCCACCCACCCATCCCAACCATCCCATCTCTCCCACCCATGCCGTCCACCCATTACACGCATCCCACCCATCCTACCCATCTCATCCCACCCATCTGATCCCATCACACCCATACCGATCACCAGTGATGACATCTTGGATGCGCTCCTGCAAGTGCCTGAAGCCATTTGAGACGCCTCATGCATCCCACCCCGCCCCACCCTACCCCACCCACCCCCACCCATCACCCCATACTGCTCACCAGTGACGACATCCTGGACGCCCTCCTGCAAGTGCCTGAAGCCATCTCTCTCGCGCCCGGCCCTCCGTCTGCCCTCCTCGCCGCCCATCCCCGCATGCTCCCCCTCGCTGTCTCTGTTGTCGCCTCCGCTCCATCCCATGCTGTGAGTTTGCTGCGCCATGCTATGCTTGCACCATGCCCATGCCCATGCGCATGCCCATGCCCATGCCCATGCCCATGCCCATGCGCATGCCCATGCCCATGCCCATGCCCATGCGCATGCCCATGCCCATGCCCATGCCCATGCCCATACCCATGCCCATGCCCATGCACATGCATGTGCCCATGCCCATGCCCATGTCACGCCATGCCATGCCATGCCATGCCATGCCATGCCATGCCATGCCATGCCATGCCATGCCGTGCCATGCCATGCCATGCCATGTGTGCACTGCATGCGTGTCCCCTTCCTGCGTCCCTTCCACGCATGACTCCGCATCTCAGTCGCTCCTTGTTCTCCTTATTGTGCTCCCTCTCACACCACGCCGCGGCCATTCCTGCAGGTGGCGGCAGCAGCTGTGACAGCAGCGGTGCTAGCAGCCAACATAATCGCAGACGACTCCTCTCTCATCCCGCACCTCACTGCAGGTCTGTCTCTCGCAACCCCGCCGCTTGTCCCACCACCCCTTGCCCCACCACCCCTTGCGCCTCAGTCCCTTACAGACCCCCTCTCTTGCATGGGCTCCTGTATCATTCCTGTCTCTGTAACCCTGCATCCGCCTCATGACTGCTCTCTCATTCATCCACCTCTTAATGAATCAGACCAGATTAGATACGATAAGAGGTCTGACGAGGGATTTTTGTTGTACCTGATGGGGGATGGGTCATCTTCTCTTTTCCTCGTTTTCTCTCCCCCACGTTCACTCCTTCCCCACCCGCTTTCCCCTCTCCCCCTCTCCCCCCACCCCAAACCGCACCCACCCACCCGCACCACTCTCCACCTCCACGCACCTTCCCAACCGTCCCACACCTCGCAGCACCGCAGTTTGTGCCACGCCTGCTGGCCCTGCTCCCCTTGGTCTCAGACGACGCGGGCGCACGCACTGCTGTGTGGTCTCTACTGCACGCTCTCTGCTCGTATGCCCTTGCGGGAGGAGGGGTGCGTGGTGGGCGCGGATCAGGGGAGGGCAGGGAAAGGCTTGTGGAGGGGGATGGGGAGAGAGGGATCGGGGATTGTCCTGAGGATGGGCGGCAGGAGCGGATGCAAGAGGATGGGGGGAGAGGTGAGGGGGAGGTGGGAGGAGTGGAGGAGCAGCAGCAGCAGCGGCAGGCACGTAGTGCAGGAGTGGCTGCAAGTTCCGATCGAATGGAGGGAGGAGCAGCAACAGCAAGAGCAAGAGCAGCAGTAGCATCGGTGGTTGTGAGCGCAGTGGTCTCAGAGTATGAGAGGATTGTAGAGGACTTGCAGGAGCATGCGAGGCAGGAGAACAGCGTGTGCCTGGGCGAGGAGGGGAGTGGCCGTGACACGAGTGATAAGAGCGGCGACACGGGCGATGGGGGTGGTGAGAAGGAGAAGAATGGGCATGTGGGTGGGGGGAAGGGGAGGGCAGGGGATGCGGATGTGGACATGGGGGAGGCGGGGATGGGGGGAGGGGAGCGAGGGAGGAGTGGCGGAGGGAATGGTGCTTGTGCTAGTGACGCACTGGGAGCTCACACACAGAGCCACAAGGCAACTGTGAGTATCCATGTGTTTCCTTTCCTCGTCATGTCCCTACTTCCTCTCTCCTAAACCTTCCCTTCCGTTTCCCTATAGTCTGTGAGTAATGATTTGTACTTGTTTATTGATTATCCATTCTCCATGTTTTTTTGGTTGGTTTTTATCCGTTCTCCATGTTTTTTTGCCTTTCCATTTTTCGTCTCTCCTTTTTCTTTTCCTTTTGCCTTTTTAACCCCATGCCACGTGCTCCCCTGGCCGTTTCTTGCTGGTAACCCACCCTCTCATTTCCCTGCTTCTGAACGCCCATCAGGTGCTGCTGCTGATTCGCCTTATTGAGCAAGCCACTTCACTCCCCCCACTGGTAGCAGCAGCCCCAGAGGCACAAGCAGTAGATGCAGCACAGGCTGATACAAATTCCTCTGCAGCAGAGTTTCCACCATCACATGCACATGCACAAGCACACGCAGATGCACAATCCATGGTTTTGGAATCCAGCCAGCCCATGCCAAGTTTGCACACCCATTTTGGCGGGGATTTGGTTCGGTCACGAGCGGCTGTGTCTGCCTTGCGACAATGCCTTGATTCGCGTGATATTGTGTGATAATGCAGAATATCCAAGCGTTTGAACTTGTCTCTCATGGGTTTTGCTGGAAGAAGCTACTTCACCTTAGTTTTCATCCGACAAGGGGAGTGCTAAAGAATGCCAGAAAGGTAAAGTGGATTACACTCAATTCATCCACTGGAATATAATGGGGTTCGTGTCGAATCAGGGTGTGGAAAGAGCACGACGAGTGGTGCAAAGGTGTCAGGCATACGCGATATAGGTAACGCTCTCTGTTAAGAAAAATAGTGACGTAGACGTATGCCCTAGTCACACCTGTCACACAAGAAAAATATCCTCCCTTTCAACCAATCCGCGCGGAACTGCCAGAAGAAAGCAGCTACTTTTTCCGGTTCGAATTCAGATCGGCGGCGAGAGTTTTGGTTCGGTTCGGCTAAGCTCAGCAGATAAATTATTTGCTGGTTGTTGGCTTGTGGGCAAACCATATCCAACTTGGTCCACGGAGGAGCGAGGAACGATGGATGATGTGTGCGCCGTGATTCGTGATGTCGTTGTGATCGCGTAGCTTCATCATCACACGCGCTGCTCCGCTTCGCCATGTCGTGGCCGCTCGCACGCTTTTCATCCTCTCGCGCGCTCCGCTCTCTCCCAGCCCTCGCTCCGCGAGCCTTTTTGCGTCTCGCCGCCTTACACTCTTCTCGTCACGTTTGCGTTAGCGTAGCTGCCGCGGACACGTGTCGCACCACCGTTGGTCGGTCAAGCTATTTGAGTAGGCTTTTTTGTCCGATTCTCCGGTTTCCTACGCAGATCCCGTCGCCGGGAGTGCATTTCGTCCCGATTCGCGGTTACTTGCCATCGGTCGCCCAGACGAGTCGCCGGTCATCGTCGTGCGTCGCGCAGCGGCTCTGCGAGTCTGGGCGAAGCGGATTGCGTGCAAGTCGTGTGCGAGGCGAGGGTTCGAATCTCGCCGCCGGCCTTTTCGCCTGGGTATAATCACCTGCTTCCTGAAATTCTCACTCAATGGATCTGTTGAAAGCAGTCGTCCGTAACGGTGCATTCTTCGTATCTTTAGAATCTCGATGCGGAATGTGGTTTCGGAACTGGAACGAGGTGGTTTGCACCAGGGGCAGAGTGATTCGCGAGGCATCTCAAAAGCCCGGGTGTGGAATGATGCCGACAGGAAGGAAGCTAGCGCATGCGGTGCGGGACAACACCAGAACCAGCACCAGCACAAGCATCACTATCCCAGAAACCCGAAACCCTGCAGGCCAGGGTGCGAGGCCAGACGGATAAGATAAATATCCTGCTGCCTCGGAACGCGATGAGATTACCAAGGGAGGAAGGAGAGGGAAGGGAGAGGGAAGAAGGGTCCAGGGTTTAGGGGTTCGGATGCTGGTCGGTGGATCAGGGCTGGTTGCTATGTGATCTTCTTGCGTTCGCCAAGCCGAATCCTCTGTCAATAGCAGGTTTCGTGATTGATATGGCAGTCAGAACGGCATGGCAGTTGCCACACGTGGCAGCTCAGCAAATAGTTCAGTTCAGCGTGAAACCCAAGGGGTCTGTGTCTCGAAACAAGAATAAGAAGGGGCCTGGTAGCTGGCCTATCTCGCCTGCTCTCCCTGCCACGGTGCTGGCTGCTTCTCCCTGTGCCTCGCTTCGCGTTCGGAGTCAGCGCAGAGCCTCTGCAGCCTCGTCGATGGAGTGCCCCATTGCCCGCCTCGCTTGTTTAGAGCCGGATCAGAGCACACTTTTGAGCCGGCTCAGAACGCACTTTCGAGCCGGCTCAAAATATCTCTGGCCTCGTCGATGCAGTGCCCCATTGCCCGCCTCACGCCTGCTAGCCCCTCGTTCCCGTGCCTTCCCTTCTGTCTCGTGCTTCTCATTCTATCACTCCCTCTCTCCATCCCACCCCCGTTTTTGTATCTCGCTTTCTCCCTCCCTCCCTCCCTCCCTCCCTCCCTCCCTCCCTCCCTCCCTCCCTCCCTCCTCGCTCCCTCCCTCCCTCCCTCCCTCCCTCCCTCCCTCCCTCCCTCCCTCCCTCCCTCCCTCCCTCCCTCCCTCCCTCCCTCCCTCCCTCCTTCGTCCTGTTTCTCATTGTGAGGACACGTGGCAGCCAGCTGGCACCAGCAAGAGGGGGTTCACTAGCAGCAGCGTCAGCAGCAGCAGCAGCAGCAGCAGTGGTGGTGGTGGTGGGTGCAGCAGAGTAGCCCGTCCGATGGCCCTCTCACAGGCTACGTCCATGGCTGCCCTGCCGTCTCTTGCTCTCTGGGGACGCTTCGCCACGCCTGTTCCCACCCTCCACACTGCCACTTCCTTCTTGCCCCTCAAAAGCCACTGCGTCAGCTCCCGTGGTATCAGCACCGCTGCTTGCTGCAGCGGTAGCAGCGGCACCAGCAGCAGCAGCAGCAGCAACAGCAGCAGCAGCAGCAGATCCAATAGCAGTGGCAGGGGAAACAGCAGCATGAGAGGCAGTTCATTCCCTAGAAGCAGGAGCTATGGCAGCCTGGCTCCAGACATTGACTCGCCCGCTCCTGCTGCTGCTGCCCCCGCTGCAGTCACCGCGGCTGCGGCGGCTGCGGCTGCTGCTGCTGCTGCTGGTGGTGGTGCTGCTGCTGCCAGTGTGAGGGGCGCTGGAGAGGGTTCGACAGCGGAGAGGAGTCGGAGGAAGAAGGAGAGGGCGCAGGGGAAAAGCGACGCTGCGTCTTCCCCTGCTGCTCGGGGTGCCCGTGCGGGTAGCAAAGGCGCTCGTGGAGGCAGTAAAGAAGGTGGTGACGGCGCTGGTGGTGGTAGCAGTGGTGGTGTGGGTGGAGCAGGGGGTGGTGCGGCGAGCAGCAGCAGCAAGAGTGGGCGTGGCAAGAGGTCAAAAGACAAAGGGAAAGAAGGAGGTATGATATTTCCGGTCCTTGCAGTTTTTCCGCCGCTTTCTTGTGTTTATTATGCTCTTCTCTTTCGTGTGCTCTCCCCTTGCTCGTCCACCCCCCATCTTCTCCACCAACCCCCTTCCGTGCTCTCATGCTCTCCTCCCCCTTTTGCCTTACCCTTTTCCGCTCCCCTCTGCTCATCCTCCTTTCCCCGTTCTTTTTCCTTCTTTCGCTCCCCCATTTCTCCCTTACCCCTTTTTCTCTTCACTCTTCCCCCTCCCTGCTTTCAACTTCCCCCTTCCCCCCCGCTCCGCCTTACACCCAATCCCCTGTCCCCCTCGTCTGCCGCGCTGTCCCTTTTGAGACGTCTCAAAGGTCCTTCCTTACAACCGAGCCCCTGTCTCCCTCTTTTGCCGCCCCCGCACGGCATGGAGCATGCGCGGGGGCCGCGCCAGCAGTGCTGCTGCGCGCAGGGCAGCACCCCCCATGCATCCTTTGCTCGTCCCCATCCCCCTCCCCTTCCCCCTCTCCTCTCTTACCCGATCCCCTGTCCCATTCATTTCTGTGCCGTGCTGCCCCCATCAACCCCCCTCTCCCCTCACCCCCCGGCAGTGGTGCTGCGCGCAGGGCAGCACCCCATGCGCCCGCACCTCATCCCCAGCTTCACCTGGCACGTGCTCAGGGGTCTCAGACGCCACGGTGAGTCTAGTTTTGAGGCGCCTCAAACCAGCTTCACCCGGCACGTGCTCAGGGGTCTCAGACGCCACGGTGAGAGGTGCTGGACAGGTGGGGTGGGTGGTTGGAGGTAGGGGGCCCTCCCATATATTCAGATGCCTTTTATGCGCCCGCACCTCATCCCCAGCTTCACCCGGCACGTGCTCCGAGGGCTGCGACGCCACGGTGAGGGGCGCTGGGTGGGTGGGGTGGGTGGGAGTGGGTGGGTGTAGGTGAACTCTGGGTCGACTGTTAAGTCAACAAACACAGCTTCACCTGGCACGTGCTCAGGGGCCTGCGACACCACGGTGAGGCGGTGGGTGGGTGGTTGGGTTTGGGTGAGTGGCATGTTGTTGAGTTACTACAAGTCATCAGGGTGGGCAAGACTAGTTACCTGTGGAAAGAATCAGGTGGCATTATTTAGGTGAACTCTGGGTCACTCTTCAGTTCAGTCAAGAAACCCAGCTTCTTCTGGCACGTGCTCAGCTCAGGGGGGTTTAGACACGGCGGTGGGAGGCGCTGGGTTGGTGGTTGGGGAAGGGGAGGGAAGAAGGGAGAGGGAGGGAAGAAGGGAGAGGGAGGGAGGGGAGGAGGAGTAAGGGACGGGTGAGGGGATTGACTGGATGGGAGGGGTGAAGGGGAGTGAGGGGTGTCAGGTCAGGGGTGTCAGGTCAGGGGTGTGCAACGTGCTCAATCTGTATACTATCATGATTCATAAACGAGGTGGAATGGGTTGCGCATACATGGAATCATGATTCATGCCAGCCTGGTCTGGCTGGAGGCAAATGAATCTGCAGCCGTGTGCTGCTCAGCTATCAGCTCCTGCTACTTGGTGACTTTTGAGCCGACTCAAAAGTCACCTCGTTACAATGGCACACGACACTTTCTCTGCTATCAGCTCCAGCTACATGCTACCTTGGACGAGTTTTGATGCTCCGCAAAAATCAAGCTCTGCTCTGCTACCTGCTCCTGCTACCCGGTGTCTGCCTGTTCTCCATATACCAAAGCTCCTGCTCATCTTCCCTATGTTTAAGTTGCTCTCGGTACACCCTTCATTCAATCTTCCGTCTGTCCCCCCCACCCTCGCACTTCCCACCCTCCCACTTCCCTCCCAACATCTCGCCACCCCTCTTTTGCAGCATCAGGGATCTGCTGCTAGACGTGCCGCCCAAGTGTGGTTTGAGTCGACTCAAGGCACACCAGCACCTCCTCTCTCCCCCTCCCCCTCCCTCCCCAATCGTGCATGGCAGGGTTCGAGGCGTATCTGGTGGGCAGCAGCATCAGGGACGGACCTTCTGCTGCTAGACGTGCCACCCAAGCGTGGTTTGGGCCGACCCACGACTCACACCTCATGGCTTATAACAACTCCTCTCCCACCCCCCACCCGTGCATGGCAGGGTTTGAGGCGTATCTAGTGGGCGGCAGCATCAGGGACCTTTTGCTGGATGTGCCACCCAAGGACTACGACGTGGTCTCCACCGCCACCAACAACGAGGTGTGACTGCGGGTTGGGAGGTGGGGAGGGTTTGAGGCATATCTAGTGGACTGCGCTGCAGCTTCAGGGAGGGACCTGCTGTTAGACGTGCCACCCAAGGACTACGACGTGCTCTCCACTGCCACCACCAACCAGGTGTGTGTGACAGCGCAGTGGAAGGGGGGGTGGGTTGGGGTGGGGCAGGGCCGCCATCATGCGCCCCACTGCTTGCTTGCTTGCTTGGTTGGTTGGTTGCGTAACTGACTGGCTTGTGCCCACAGTAGCCTAGTCTCAAAGGTGTGCTGTATGTCTGTGTGTCTGTGTGTCTATGCTCTATCTGCTTCGTGCTCGCCTATCTTGCTGGTGGTTGTTATTCACTCCGCTTCAACATGCTCTTCAACGGCTTGCCTCTGTTCTGTTGTCTCCTTGCCCTCTCCACAAATTCTTTGATGTGAGGTCTATGTGAGGTCTGAAAGCTGACTTGAAGTGAGCTTGTGTCTGCACCGCCGCTTGCTTGTCTCGCTTCTCCCTCTCTCACTGGCCCCACAACCCCGTTCTCCATCTTACCGCTCGTCCCCTGCCTCTTTTGTCCCCTCTCCCTCACTCACTCTCACCCCTTCCCTCTCTCATTCCCTCCTTCACACCATCCCGCTGTCCCTCGCCCCACCACTCTCTTCCCCCTCATGGCGGCAAATCCGCAAGTCGTTCCCCAGGGCGCGCATTGTGGGGCGCCGCTTCCCTTCCTCCCTCCCTCACTTTCTCTCTCCCTCTCCCTCCCTCACACCATCCCGCTCTCCCATGCTCCATCTCCCCCCCCCCGTGGTGGGCAGATCCGCAAGTCGTTCCCCAGGGCGCGCATTGTGGGGCGCCGCTTCCCCATCTGCCACGTGATGGTGGGGGGGGAGATCGTAGAGGTGAGGGGAGGGGAGGGAGGGGGGGGGGGGGAAGGGGGAGGGAGGGAGGGAGGGTGAAGGGAGGGTGAAGGGAGGGTGAAGGGAGGGTGAAGGGAGGGTGAAGGGAGGGTGAGGCAATGGGGCAGGAAGAAGGGGCCTTCCCTATCTTCCATGTGATGGTGGGCGGGAGATCGTTGAGGTGAGGAGGGGAGGGAGGGGGGGAAGGGGGTTAGGAGAGACGGGAGGGGAGGAGGTTGCAGGGAGGGTGTTGCAATGGGGCAGCCCGCAGGAGGATTGTTGAGGTGGGGGGAGGGGGAGAGGGGGGAGGGATGGTGAAGGGAGGGCGATTTGATGGCAGGGCAAAGAAGGCACTTGCTAAGAGAGAGAGGAGGGAGGGGAGGGAGGGGAGGGAGGGGAGGGAGGGGAGGGAGGGGAGGGAGGGGAGGGAGGGGAGGGATGGGAGGGAGGGAAGGGGAGGAGGGAGAGGAGAGAAGCATGTAATGGGCAGCAGGGAGGTAGCTGAGGTGAGATAATCAGTGTCGTTCAACGCAAAGCAAGAGGAGGCGTCAGCTCAGCAGGGAGTGGGAGTGGGAGTGCAATGGGGGAAGAAACAGCTGCCGCACATGCCTTGCACCGTTCGCCATGTGCCATGCACCATGCACCATGCACCATGCACCATGCACCATGCACCATGCACCATGCACCATGCACCATGCACCATGCACCATGCACCATACACCATGCACCATGCACCATGCACCATGCACCGTGCACCGTGCACCGTGCACCGTGCACCATGCACCATGCACCATGCACCATGCACCATGCACCATGCACCATGCACCATGCGCCTTGTGGCCCCCGCCCTTGCTTTGCTGCCCCCCCGTGCAGGTATCGAGCTTCAAGACCAAGGAGCAGTTGCCACAGCGGCGCAAGCGAACAGCAAAACCGGAGCAGTTAGGGATGCGGGCAACAAAGCTGTCATGGCTTGATGATGACGCGGGGGAGGGCGATGAGCGGGACGAGGAGGGGGACGAGGAGGGGGACGAGGAGGGGGACGAGGGAGACGATGGGGAGGAGGGAGAGGAGGGACGGGAAGAGGAAGAAGAGGGGGAGGAGGAAGAAGAAGAGGAGAGGGAGGAGGAGACGGAAGATGGGCTGCTGGTGCAGGTGCAACCCCCGCGGGAGATGGTGGAGAGGAAGGGGTGGTCGGGCAAGGACTCGGAGCGATGGCGCAATGCTGCTCGCAGGGACTTCACTGTCAATGGGTGCGTGCACTGTGCTGTGGCGTGCTGTGCTGTGCTGTGCTGTGCTGTGCGGTGCTGTGCGGTGCTGTGCTGTGCTGTGCTGTGGTGGCATGTTCTGTGCTGTGCTGTGCTGTGCGCTGTGGTGTGCTGTGCTGTGCTGTGGTGGCATGTTCTGTGGTGTGCTGTGCTGTGCTGTGCTGTGCTGTGCTGTGCTGTGCTGTGCACTGTGCTGTGCTGTGCTGTGCTGTGCTGTGCTGTGCTGTGCTGTGCTGTGCGGTGCTGTGCTGTGCTGTGCTGTGCGGTGCTGTGCTGTGCTGTGCTGTGCGGTGCTGTGCTGTGCTGTGCTGTGCTGTGCGGTGCTGTGCTGTGCTGTGCTGTGGTGGCATGTTCTGTGGTGTGCTGTGGCCCCAGCTGTGGTGTAGTTTCGAGGCGCCTCACAAGGGGTGGTCGGGCAAGGACTCGCAGCGATGGCTCAATGCTGCTCGCAGAGTCTTCACTGTCAATGGGTGCGTGCGTGCGCAGAGTCCCCATGTGCGGGGGGAGTCTGTGTGGTGGTGTCACAGGTGGCATGTGAGGATGTGGCTCAAGAAGCCTGAGCATTACAGAGCATTACTGAGCATGCTCGTCGTGGAAATGAATGAGCTTTGGACTATGACTTTGAGTAGCCAGCGCAGTCAGTCCGTTTGAGCAGGTTGAGCTGGGACGAGGGCAGGTGCTGATTGGGGAATGTGTTTGTATCCTTGGTCTCTCTTGAAATCACATCTACTTTTGTTCCCATCCTTCTCTCTGTGCCTTTTCTTACTCTTCCTTCGCTTGCTCCTCCCTCTAAACTCCCTCCCCGGCCCATGCTCCTGAGCACACCAGGCTGATGCTAGACCCGTTCAGTGGCACGCTGTACGATTATGTGGGGTGGGGGCAACGAATGACATCAAGACCCGCGTGCTGCACGTGTGCCTTCCCCCCCCCTCCCCCCCCCCCCCCCTCCCTTCCCCACCTGTGTTTTGAGTCGACTCCGCCCACACCTCCTCCCCCGCCCACATGCACATCTCACATCACATCAGGCTGATGCTAGACCCGTTCAGTGGCACGCTGTACGACTATGTGGGGGCAATGAATGACATCAAGACCCGCGTGGTGCGCCTTTCACTGCCTTGCATGCCGGGCCGTGCCTTGCATGTCGTGCCGTGCCTTGCATGTCGTGCCGTGCCATGCCATGTCGTCCCATGGTTCCTCACATGAGCATATGTGTGTGTGGCATGCCATGGGACGCAACTTCTCTATGCATTTAAATGGTTGCTTGTGGTGTGTGCGCTTCGGCATGTGCTACCGGTCGTTCGTTTCTTTATGCGTGAGTGTGCTGCATCCATGTGTGTGCATCCATGTCATGTGTGTGCATTCATGTCATGTGTGTGCATTCATGTGTGCGTCCATGTGTGTGCATCCAACCCAAGCAAGCATACAAGCAAGCATGCACGTGCGCATGCATCTAGGTGTCGCATACACACCAATGTACCCATGCCTCTCATGCGTGTGTGTACCCACCTCCTCTCTGCATGCCTCTTTATCTCCCTCTCCCCCTTTTTCTCTCCTCCATGCATGCATGTATGTGCATTCCCGAGTCAGCTCAGAACGATACAACCAGCCCTGCCCTCCTTCCTAGATGACCCAGGTTTGTGAGTTTCAGTCATGCCTCACTGAGCTGCGTGCGTGCGTGCTGAGTTTCGTAGGCTTAAAGCTAAGGAAAAAACAGCTCAGAACGATACAGCCAGCTCTGCCCTCCTTCCTAGATGACCCAGGCTCGTCCCCCTCCTCCACAAACCTACGCCCGTCCTTCATTCCGTTTCCACTCGTTGCTTCACGTGTGCAGCGCACTCGTCACCCATCCCAGGTGACTTTTGAGTCGACTCAAAGGTCATTCCGTTTCCACTCGTTGCTTCTCGTCTGCAGCGCACTCATCGCCCATCCCTCAAAACGCACTCTGTCTGTTGCTGCCCTCTTGCTGTTCACACTCTCCTCCCACCCTGCCCTACCTCCAACTCCTTTATCTCCCTCTCTTCACCCACGGATCAGCTCCTCAAAACGAGGTGACTTTTGAGTCGACTCAAAACTGCACCCACGGGTCAGCGCCTCAAAACTCACCATGCGCATGGCACACACTCAAAGGAAACTAAATTGAGAACTTCCCAAATTGAGCTGATTCCGAAGGCGCATTATAATCTCTTCCCCTCCGTGCTCCCCCCTTTCCCCTCGCGTGTGCAGTGCGTGTGCTGCGAGCCATGCGCATGGCAGCCAAGGCACGCCTCTCCCTGCATGAGGACATCGTTGCTGCCCTGCAGTCGCCGCGCCTCCTCTCCTCCCTCGCGCATGCCAGCAAGGTGCGCCTGGCAGGCAGGCAGGGCATGTGGGGACGCATGGGATGTGCTCATGCAGCTCTATGCTTGCTCTCTAGCACCCACCAGGTGCTGGCACTGGCGGATATGTAATCGATACCCCACAGTTTTGTCTCTTCATTCTCAAGCCCCCCCTCTCTTCCCCCTTCTCTCCCCGCTCCCCCTTATCCCACATGGGTGGTTCCATCAGGAGTGTGCAGCAGGAGGCGGCACTTCTACTCTCTTTGAGGCGCCTCAAAAGGCGGCACTTCTACTCTCATACAGCTCGTCAAAGCCCGACCTGCACCTGCGGTTGCCCTGCTCACTTCCTTTAACCCCCTTTCCCTCCTCCCCCCATCCTCCTCTGCACATCAGGACCGCGTACAGCAGGAGGTGGCGTTGCTGCTGTCGTACGGGTCATCTGAGCCCGCTGTTCGCTTGCTCTGGTCACACCGCCTCATGCCGCTGCTGCTGCCCCTGCACGTAAGGCCATGGGATGTAGTGTAATGCAATGTGATGTGGTGCGGTGTGATGCCATTGGATGCGATGTCATGTGATGGAACGGGTTTCTCTGCCATGCTATCTGTACCTGTTTATACCCCATGGCTGTCCCATTTCTTCTTCTCTGAGCTCCTTCTCTTCTCACTCCCTTGCCCTTGCTGCTTCTCCCCTCTCTCGTTACTTCTGTATGCCTTTCCTCCGCCAAGTGAAACTGCAAGAATCGCACGCCCTTCATTCATTCCCCTTGTTTTGCCGCACTCTTAACCGTCACACCACTTGTTCTTCCTCCTCCCACACTCGCCCCTCCCTCTCCCCCAACCCTTCCGCTCCACCCATCCACCAGTCAGCTCGGCTGCTGGATCGTGGCTTCCCAACCTCTCCATCTGCTGCTGCCACTGCTGACGATCTGCTCTTCGTCAGTGCCACTGTGCCCTCGTGCTGCTTGCACACGTGCACACACATGCACACACATACACAGACATACACACACATGCACACACATACACAGACATACACACACATGCACACACATGCACACATTTGTTTCCCAACCTCTCCATCTGCTGCTGCCACTGCAGACGACCTGCTCTTTGTCAGTCACTCACTGCTGTATTCTCGTGCCATTTGCACATGTGCGCATGCACACACACACCAACAAACGTCCTTCCATACATTCACACATGCGTACGTGCACACACACATGTACGTATCCCCATATGCACATATCCTCATATGCACACACGCAAACAAGCACACTTTCAAACTCTTCCACCACCCACCGTCCCTGTCATTACTTCGCACTCATGCGTCTTCTCTCCGCACATCCGTCATGCACACGCCAGGCCATGCTGCGGCAGCTGGATCGCCTTACAGCTCCCAATGCTCCCTGCCGCCTCATGGTCTGGTCAGTTGCTGCTGGGAGCCTCCATCTAATTCAAATGCCCCTGTCTCTCTCTGACACCTTTCCTTTCTGAATTTGAGTCGACTCAAAATCCTTACAGCTCCCAATGCTCCCTGCCGCCTCATGGTCTGGTCAGATGCTGCTTGGAGTCCCCCTCTCATTCAAATGCCCATTTGAGTGTCTCCTCTCTCTGACACCTTCCCTTCTGATTAGCCTTCATTGCTCATGCTCCGTCCTCCGGTTTGTCTGTCCAGTCATCCTTTCCTCCCTCATGTGTGTGTGTGTGTGTGTGTGTGTGTGTTTTCCGTTTTTCCTCTTTCGGCAAACAAACACCCTGTAAACTCTTCCCACTCTCCGCACTCTCTCACTCTCCATCCTCTCACCCCTCTTCAGCACCCATTCCCCCCCCTCCTATCCCTCCCAGGGTGACAATCCTAGCCCTCTACCTCGCAGCAACCGCCACTCCCACACACCCCGCAGCACTGCTAGCAGCAGCGCTGCGCATGAGAAGGGGCGGGCTGGAGTGGGAGAAAGCAGCAGCCGATGCAGCAGAGGTGGTGCGGAGACTAAGAGCTGGAGAGCCTGTGGATTCACAGTTGCTGCTGGGGAGTGGGGAAGAGGAGGGGGGGAAGAAGGGCAGCAGGGGCAAGAGGAGGACTAAGGGGAAGGGGAAGGGGAAGCAGGAGGAGGGTGCGAGGGATGGTGATGGTGGGGAAGGAGAGGGAGGGGGGGATGGTGAAGGGGAGGAGGGGAGGGCGAGGGAGCGTAGAGCGGAGGAGAGGAGGTTGTTGAAGGAAGCCCAAGAGGTATGGTTCAATACCGCCAAGGAAGTGGCTTTGGTTGGCTTGGCATTGGGTGGGAACAAAGTGACCAGGTTTGTAGATCGAGCATTAATACGTTGCACATGTGTGCTTACTTCCACTTCCTTCATTCCATGAGCTCTCCCACCTCCTCTTCCTCACACCGTTCACTCTCACTTTCTCTCCTTTCCCCTCGCCCCCCACCCCGCCAACGCCCCCCACCCTCTCTAATTCACTTCATGTTGTTTCCTCCTCTCGCTCCCTCAACCTTCCCCTCTATCCCCCCCCCCCCCCCCTGCAGCTACTACCCAGGGCCCTACGCTGTGTGCTGCAGATGACCCATCCAGGACAGCTCTCCCGCCACGCACACGCACAGCTCGGCATCTCTCTTCCCGAACCCGTGCGCCTCTCTCCCTCTCCCCCTCTCTCCTTCTCTCCCTCTCCCCCTCTCTCCCTCTCCCCCTCTCTCCTTCTCTCCCTCTCCCCCTCTCCCCCTCTCTCCCTCTCCCCCTCTCTCCTTCTCTCCCTCTCCCCCTCTCCCCCTCTCTCCCTCTCTCCCTCTCTCCCTCTCTCCCTCTCTCCCTCTCTCCCTCTCTCCCTCTCTCCCTCTCTCTACCCCTCTCGGCACTGTTCCGAGCCGACATGCAACGACTCACATCATCACTCCTCTCCACCACTCTGCCAGTCCCACTCACCGCAGTGTCTCCATCTCATCATCTAACCCCGGCCCAAAACAAGCTCTCTACCAAAAGCCCCACCGTCCAATCGTGTCTCTCCCTCCTTCCGCCCCCATCCCCCCGCTTCCCCCATCTTCCCCTCCCTCCCCTCTCTCCCCACCCATGCTGTCCCCTTGCCCTTGGATACATCCCTCCCATGCCATGTGCATCCCGGCAGGTCCTGGTAACACGTTCTTCCCCTCGACCCCCTCTCTCTCCACCCCTACTGTCCCCTTGTCCCTGGATACATCCCTCCCATGCCTTGTGCATCCCGGCAGGTCCTGATATCGCGAGCCAGCACCTGTGATGCAGCGCAGCTGCTGTACCGCTGCATGACCGGCCGCCAGGCCAAGGACCCGCTCTCCCTCGAATACCTCCTCACCACCACAGGGCTTGCCGCTGATGGTGAGGGTGAGGACGAGGAGGAGAGGGATGTGAGGGGTCTGGGGCGGAGTAGACAAGCGGGTGGGCGGCACAAGGAGAAGAAGAGGCGGGATGACTGGGGGCCGGGGCATGTTTCAGCAGAGGTTCTGGATGAGGCAGAGATGTTAGTTTCATGGGTGGTTATTAATTCAGTGCCCTCGATCGTTTAGGGCTACTGTATTTTTGGTTGGTGTTACCGGATTTATGACTTTTGCTGTATATAATTCATTCATACCCTTTCAGTATGTGCAAGGCTTGTGACGTACCAACCCACCAGGGTTCACCCTAGGGAAGGGCATGCTCCTCACGGATTTGGTCTAGACAGCTTGGGTTTTATCAGTGAGGCACAACCAGGAAAACACCATAGTACCGTACTTTTAGGGCGTGTTCCTACGGCCCCTTATCAGGCCAACCCCCTATCACATTCGCATCGCGTCACACTGAAATTCCCCTAAACCCCAAATCTCTCGCGAATTTTACCAGGCAAGCCTGATAAGAGGCTTGCCTGATAAGATACGGTAAGAGCGTAGGAACACGCCCTTAGTCACATGTTGAATGAATGAGCTATGAGGGCATACTAGGGGATAAATAATCAATGTGTATATGTATGTGTGCGTTTATATATACGTCTTTGTGCATGATAACTTTGCGTTTATGTGCTTGTGTGAATGTGCGTATGTGTATGAAGATGCGTGTTTTTTCTTTCTAGTGATATATACTTTATTGTTATTTTTGATATTTTGAGACATCAAAGATTTGATGTCTATAACTAAGGCAATTCGTTCCACATGAGAACAAACATCGAAGCGGTTGCAAGATCCAAACTGTAGACTTTCTGGCTTGGTGGTGCACCACCTCCGTCCATCACCCTAACCATCAGCTACAGTACCCATTTCGGGTCTTCCCCTCCCTCATCTCCTTGCATCCCCCTCCCACTGCTATCTCCCGCTGCATCGCCTCTGTCTCGCTCTCTCCTTTCCCCTTTTCCTCTCTCCCTGCTCAGAGTCCAACCTCTTTCAGTTTTTTTTTTCTCGCTGGCTCGTTTCCAGCGCGCAACATGGTGCGTCCGCCTCCCTCCACAGTTTTCAAAGTGTGTGTTTAGGTCAAGGTTGGGGTACAAGACTAGAGTGTCGAGAATGTTTCTGTACCCTCTAAGGCTAGCCCCAATATAGCCTAGATACTAATATGCATATGTTTTGACACACCCCCATAGGCGAAGTGGGGGATAGCCAGCACAAGGGGTCACAAGACCAGTCAAGCAAAGCAAACCAAAGCAAAGCTCAGGGTGGATCACAACGTCACCACACATTCTGAGCAAAGGTTCAAGGCCTCAAGGCCGGTTCACATGCAGGATGATATATAGAGGTAAACAAACAAGAGCAGGTATATATAAGACACAGTACAAGCAAGGTCAAGAAGTGAGCAAGTGAGGCCAAGTAGGCACAAGACCTAGCATAGTACAAAAGCGCTGATGATCGCAAGGCGGAAGAGCCTTGGTGAAGATATCAGCAGTGTTGGCCCGAGTGGCCACGTAAGCAAGGCGCAGCTGACCACGCTGCTGCAGCTCACGAGCAAGGAAGTAGCGAAGAGCGATGTGCTTCGTTCTGTGCTCCAGTCTGTGCTCCTGACACAAGGCGAGCATGGCCTTGTTGTCTACGTACAGAACTGGAGGAGAACGAGGCGGCTCTCCAAGGTCAGTCAGCAGGTAGGTCAGCCAGCGTAACTCTTGTGCAGCCATGGCTCCTGCGTAGATCTCAGCCTCACAGCTGGAGCTGAGAACAGAAGACGAGCGAGTAGACCGCCACGAAACAGAGCCGGAACCAAGGCTGAAGGTGTAACCCTGTGACGACCGCTGCGTAGCCAGGTCGTCGACCCAAGACGCGTCTGCGTGACCCGTGAGGACCACTCGACTCCGCCCTCCAAGCACGAGCCCCATGCCCGACGTACTGCACAAGTAGCGCAACACCCTCTTCGCTGCAGCCATGTGCTCTGGTCGGTGTCTCCCAGGAGCAACATAGCGTGCGAGTATGCTGAGAGGGTAGGCCAGGTCAGGTCGTGTGCAGGTCATCAGGTACATGAGGCAGCCAACAAGCTCTGGGTACGGGCCACTCGGCTCTACGGACTCATCCGAAGGCAGAGCTGAGAGCGAGTGGCGAGTAGACAGAGGAGTGGCCTGAGGCGAGGAGTACGTGAAGTCGAAGCGCTGAAGGATCTGCTGCACCATGTGTGACTGAGTCAGGGTAATGGTGCGCCGTGCTCTGTCCCGAGTGATCTGCAGGCCAAGATAGCTGCGCAGTTCACCCATGCCTGTGCACGTGTGTCGCGTCTGCAGCTCGGACTTCACGTAGGCGAGTCCAGCAGTGTCAGCTGTAGCAAAGACCAAGTCGTCGACGTACACGAGGATGTAGAACGGCGGCAAAGAGGTGTCGGTGCGTAGAAACAGCGACAGGTCAGCAGTAGAAGGAGCAAACGCAAGAGCCGCAAGCGTAGTCCTCAGTGTGTCGTGCCACTCACGCGGCGCCTGGCGGAGACCGTAGACTGGCCGCCAGAGGCTCCACTGGGTACCAGGAGGAACTGACCCAGTGAAGCCAGGTGGGCGGCGCAGCCAGATCTCCTCGTGCAGGCTGCCTTGTAGGAAAGCTGTGCTGAAGTCTAGAGAGTGAAGCTCGTAGTCACGGTGAGCGGCTATGTGTAGCAGCACCCGAAGAGTGGTCATCTTCGGGGTGGGAGAGAAGGTCTGAAAGTAGTCAACTCCCTGCCGCTGACTGAAGCCTCGAGCCACGTAACGCGCCTTGAAGACAGGCGGAGAACCCGGCGGCCGCTTCACCCTGAAAATCCACATGCCACTGACAATGTTCGCCCCAGGTGGGGGAACCTCGTCAACGTAGGTGCCTGTGGACTTCCAGGAAGCCATCTCTGCGTCCATGGCTGCCTGCCACTGAGAGGAGTAGGGACCCTCTATCGCCTCCGCGTAAGAGCGCGGAGTCGGGATGTCTGGTGCATCTGGGTCTCCCTCAGGGGCAAGCAGCATGGCTACGAGATGAGGTAAAGCAGCAGCAAGACACTGGAACTCCTCCTGCCTGTCCTCAAGGACGTCCGTGCTAAGAGCACACTCACCCCCGACGGACGGAGGACAGTCAGACTCAGACTCAGCAACAAGACTAGTGGCGTAGTCTAGACGACAGTGGGCAGCAAAGTCAACAAGCTCAGCGACCAAGGCAGACGCAGCCGTAGACTCAAACGACGGGTCAGTGACAACAGTGGCTAACAGACGCGTAACAGTAGGGTGCTGAGCACGAAACCGGTCAGACGCAGGGTCCGGAACGGCAGGCAGAGAGGACGCAGGGGGAGACGGTAGAGGAACAGACTGCGGAACAGAGGAAGGACGACGGACAACAAGGTGTGCACTGGGGACAGTCGGCTGACGTGAACGAGAAACACGACGACCAGTACGACCAGAACGAACAGGCGAGACAGGACGCAACGCAGGCTCACGACGCTCAGCAAGACTACCTGTCTGCTCAGTGTAAGGAGAAGGAGTAGACAGTGGTGAGCCAGGCGGTAACGGAAGACCAGTGGACGACGGGAGAGTAAGAACCTGACGAAGAACAGAGTCAGGCGGCGGCAGCGACGACGGAGACGGCGGAGCGAAGAACAGCCGTGTCGGCGCAGCTGCACCAGCTCCGGCAGCTCCAGCAGCTCCAGCAGCTCCAGTGCCTCCAGCAGCTCCAGAAGCTCCAGCCGCAGAACCGGTACCTCCAGCGCCAGCAGCTCCAGAACCAGCGTCACCAGCAGCCGCACCCCCAGAACCGGCACCTGCAGTCCCAGGGTCTCCAACCGCAGTGTCTCCCGCAGCAGCACCCCCAGAACCAGCACCTCCGGTCCCAGGGTCTCCAACCGCAGCGTCTCCCGCAGCAGCACCCCCAGAACCAGCACCTCCAGTCCCAGGGTCTCCAACCGCAGTGTCTCCCGCAGCAGCACCCCCAGAACCAGCACCTCCAGTCCCAGGGTCTCCAACCGCAGCGTCTCCCGCAGTAGCACCCCCAGAACCAGCACCTCCAGCCCCAGGGTCTCCAGCCTCAGTGTCTCCAGCAACGGCACCGCCAGGGGCAGCACTCCCAGCCCCAGCAGCTCCAGTACCTCCAGCAGCAGAGCCCCGGGCTCCAGCAGCGCGACGCTGACGGCGACCGTACCAGTCGTGCAGCTGCTGAGTGGTGAGAGGCACACGTGGACGAAGGCGGCCACTCCAAGTAGGCCGCGCACCAGCAGTCCCAGTACCCTCAAGCGTCTCACCTCCAGACTCAGCACCCCCAGACTCCGCACGCACTGGCTCAGTACCCCCAGACACAGCACCCCCAGGCGCAGGACCTCCAGTCTCCTCACGCGCAGGCTCAGTACCCCCAGACTCCGCACCCCCAGACGCAGCACCTCCAGGAGCACCACTCCCAACAGCACCAGAGTCAACAGGAACCGGCTGCAGAGGCGGCGAAGAAGGTCGCGGAGGGAACCCTGGAGGGGTCTCCAAGCGTGGTGCGCGGCGGTAGGCCGCCGGGGCGTCAGCAGCAGCGTCACCCCCCTCAGG